AAAGCCAATTCTGGGGGAAATGGATAATTAAAACCTGAGTTGCCATTGGTTGAGGCTTTATTGTGGGGGTTGCCCCGTCCTTGCAATCTGGATCCAGCCTTCCTAGGACACTTAAGCCACGCCCTCCCGAGCACGGGGAAGGCATTCCTTGGTCCGAACATTTGGGGGGGAGGGGGGGGGGCGGGGCGCGAGGGCTGGAAACAAGCCGGAGCCAACCGAGGCAAAGTCGTTGGGTCTTGTTCGAAAACCTGTTCTCAGGACTGAGTGTGATAAACACTTTTGCACCATGGAGTTGAGCCCATGCCCCTTGCAGGTGACTTTTGTACATGATGGAGCCTCAATGCCAACTAATGCCGGTGGAATCCCAGCGTACCACCAGAGGTCACTTTGTACATGATGGAGCCTTAATGCCAACTAATGCCGGTGGAATCCCTCTAGTCTGGAAAATAACTTTCAGAAGGAAAGAAAACTTACCTTGTTCAATCGTCATATTCCTTGGTGCCAAGGACAGTGCCAATACGTGACGTTTGAAAATCAACTAGACAGTTCTATTGCTTTTGTATTGATAGACAAATTTCTGGTTTCCGGGGTAATAGTAATGAGAAATATAAGCAAAATGTTGACAATAAAAGCAATCTCGAAGACCCCTTTTCATTCTCCTAATCAAACACTTTTAGCCTTTATTTAGCCCTGTCTTCCATCACTCTAATTTTTTCCCAGATTTTCCAAGAATTAAAATACACATATAGCATTCACATAGCACACATATAGTTCATCATTAAGTGCTGGCAACCTTCAAAACCGGTGATGCACAAGCAGGTGGAAGGTAATTTTCTCCCAAAGTGTATTTGCCTTCCTCGCCCCACACTGGTGTTGTGACTCTGCATTATAATTAGGAACCATACCAAGATAATGAACTCAAAGGTCCCCAAACTCCAACATCAGCTTAAACATGGTTTATCAAGCATTTAGGTACCGGAAGAACTAAGTTCCACCTTGCATAATCTTAACCTAGTTTTAAAAAATCTAAGCAGGTCATTGATAGACGAAATAGAGATAAGTGAACAGATTCAAGAGATACAAAGAAAAGTCTATAGGATTTGGGAAGTGATTGGAACTGTGGTGGGAAGTAAAAGACATCAAAGGTTACTTCTCACCCTAGCCGGTTTGGCTCAATGGTTAAAGCATTGGCCAGGGGACTATAGGGTCCCAGGTTCGATTCTAGCCAAGAGCACAGCCTGAACTCCCCCACCCCCAGTAGGGGGCGTGCAGGAGGCAGCCACTCAATGATTCTCTCATCATTGATGTTTTCATCTCTCTCTGCCTTCCTCTCTGAAATCAATAAAAAATGTATATTTAAAAAAAATATGGTTCCTTAAGTGTTAAAAAAAAAGTTACTTCTCACTTTCTATCCTTGCAATGGTGTAATTATACATGCTGTTTCCTGAGCAAAGATCTGGGTTAAAGTCGAAGTATGTAAAGTAGTAAGCACAGTAGATAAGGAGATAAGAGCATTACACTAAGACCATTCAGAATACAACTGCTACTTTTGTGAAAGATCCTTTCGTAATTTTGAATTATACCAAGAGAACCCTAAAATGGAGTAAGATAAAAATGCAAGGTGAGCAGGTAATAGTTTCCTAAATAGAAACATTAAGACATAGAAGTGACAGAGTTGTAAGTGGGGCCAATATTGCTTGCTGGTGTTGACTGACTTCTGTTGGCTGCTTGACATCAACTCAGCAGCAGTCCTCTGGGGCTCCAGGGAACACAGCATTTCCTCAGAAGAGAGCGAGTTGGTGTGATCATCAAACATGCCCTGAACTGGGGAAAGCACAAGGAACAGTAGGTGTGCTTTTGCAACGATGTCCTTTTTACCAACTCATTTTCCCAGTCTGTGGGCAGGGTTTACACACACATTTGTGGGCACTTAAACGCAGCATGCAAAGTTCCCTGAAGGAGTCTGAATGTGAAGTAGGCCAGAATTGTTTAATGTAACTAAAAAATGAAGGCATTCACCAGAAATGATAAAGAAGAGACACTGAGAAATCTAGGCACTGCTCAGCCAAACTCTTCTCTTGGGGCAGGATAGCCTCTAGTGTTGTTTCCACAAAAGGACTCCACTAAAATTGAACTGATGTCAACA